TCCTGCAGCAGGAATGCCAGGTGTACCCGTTCAGATGTGCCCGCTGTATACATTTAAGTAAATGAACGGGACACCTGGGAATCCTGCCACAGGAATCCATAGGTTCTTGCCGCAAGAATCCCAGAATGCCTTGTGTGAATAGGGCATTAGACATGCAGCAACAGGTTAATAGATGGAGGAGATATAGAAAAATACAGGTGGTAAAAGTCAAACACTTTGCAAACATACAGTGTGCACTTAATGTGGTTAGTATGTCTTATGATTCCATAGCAATACAGTTAATGATGGCTGAAGCTGCATCATTACTGGATTTGGCACAAATATGCATCTGTACAATTCTAGTGAACTCCGGTAATCATATCATATTATGTTTTATGACAGAACTGACATATTGTTTCAGTCATTGCCATTTATACTCCCATAATATTCAAGCTTTTTACTAATACATGACTAGGTTCCGCTGATATCTCTAAAATTCTCAGTGAATCCCCAGCAGGGCAATTACAGGAGAGCTCTCAGTCATCTACGTATATTATTACTACACATAGTTTCCTGGAAGTGGCTCCTGAAGGGATTTCTACAGCCCAGGCAGCAGATACTTTCCAGCATAATCTGTTTTAATCAAAGACAATGGCTGTGTTTTGACAGGTCAGGTATAAGGCCTACATGTGGAAAAACACTGCTTTACGCCTGGCAGCAACATCTCTGAATCTCCCTGTGAAGAGCCTGATATTTCAAAGCAGGCGCCTGTCAGATGAGGCTGCAGTTTCCATGACAATAAAGAAGATCAAAGCTGGAGGCTAAGCCGGCCTTGAAAAAACACATCTTAAAACTGCTATTGTTTTATTTATAAACCTTTCCAATAAAAAAGGTCCTGCAAGTACAAATAAATATACCACAGGCGTATTAGTATCTACAAGTACTAAAATATAATGTAAAACTGGCATGTTTTTAGAAAAATTTATAAATAATAATTTAACATTTAATCTGGTTTAATGATTTTAACAATTTTTCTGTAAAACAGATCTTACCCTCATTGCCCTCTACTAAACAACAGCAAGACCCTGCGTACAATGTTTACACTTTCAAGGACACTATCCTACTAAGCAGAAGCCACAAAGTCTTACCGACAGCTTGTGCTGCATGTGACTATGTGACTTCTGTAATTACATACCCCGGTATTTGAAAAACTCAGAAACTTCTGAAAATATGTATTTTTTCATATTACCATACAAAAGGATAAAAACATGGAAATGCATCAGTATGCATAGTGACTGATGAGTGTAGTAACTGAATTAACATGTTAACTGATTTTTTTCAAAACCATCAAATGGTAGGGATGCACCAATACCATTTTTATCAATACTTTTTCAAGTAGTCGCCAATACCAATTACTGATACCGTTTTGTTTTTTTTAGTGTCATGTGACAATTTTTCCAAAACAATACAGACTAATTATTTTAGGACAGTGTTGGATTGCCAGGGCATGGTCGTTGCTGCAACCGCTGCGACCCTGGTAGTTCTGCCATTGACTCCAAGCTGTAAAAGGACTACAAATCCCAGAAATACATTATATAACAATGCAGAATACCACCAGCTATAGAGGATTACAAATCTCAGCAATACATTATACATCAATGCAGAATACCACCAGCTACAGAGGACTACAAATCTCAGCAATACATTATACATCAATGCAGAATACCACCAGCTGTAGAGGACTACAAGTTCAAGCAATACTTGAGAGAATGCAGAACAATATGAAACTACATATCCTGCGTTGCTCCAGAGTGTTAGCATGATGTCTCCAGGGTCTCAGGTGGACTGTGCAGGATCCCAGGTGGACTCTCAGGTGAGCTGAGCAAGCCTTCAGGAGGCTGCGCGGGCTCTCAGGTGGGCTGTGCAGAGCTCAGGTGGGCTGTACTGGCTCTCAGGGGGCTGTGCGGGCTCTCAGGTAGGCTGTGAGGGCTCTCAGGTAGGCTGTTCAGGGTCCCAGATGGGCTGCGCGGCGTCTTAGGAGGGCTGTGCAGGGTCTCAGGTGGGCTGCGCAGGGTCTTAGGAGGGGTGTGCAGGGTCTCAGGTGGGCTGTGCGGGATCTTAGGTGGATTGTGCAGGGTCTTAGTTGGACTGTGCAGTGTCTAAGGATTGCTGTGCAGGGTCTTAGGAGGACTGTGCAGGGTCTTAGGGCTGTGTGGGCTTCTAGGTGGGCTGTGCGGTGTGTTAGGAAGGCTGTGCGAGCTCTCAGGTGGGCTGTTCAGGCTCTCAGGAGGCTGTGTGGGCTCTTCTGATGGGAAGCTAGTATGATAATTTCCATGACAATAAAGAAGATCAAAGCTGGAGGCTAAGCCGGCCTTGAAAAAACACATCTTAAAACTGCTATTGTTTTATTTATAAACCTTTCCAATAAAAAAGGTCCTGCAAGTACAAATAAATATACCACAGGCGTATTAGTATCTACAAGTACTAAAATATAATGTAAAACTGGCATGTTTTTAGAAAAATTTATAAATAATAATTTAACATTTAATCTGGTTTAATGATTTTAACAATTTTTCTGTAAAACAGATCTTACCCTCATTGCCCTCTACTAAACAACAGCAAGACCCTGCGTACAATGTTTACACTTTCAAGGACACTATCCTACTAAGCAGAAGCCACAAAGTCTTACCGACAGCTTGTGCTGCATGTGACTATGTGACTTCTGTAATTACATACCCCGGTATTTGAAAAACTCAGAAACTTCTGAAAATATGTATTTTTTCATATTACCATACAAAAGGATAAAAACATGGAAATGCATCAGTATGCATAGTGACTGATGAGTGTAGTAACTGAATTAACATGTTAACTGATTTTTTTCAAAACCATCAAATGGTAGGGATGCACCAATACCATTTTTATCAATACTTTTTCAAGTAGTCGCCAATACCAATTACTGATACCGTTTTGTTTTTTTTAGTGTCATGTGACAATTTTTCCAAAACAATACAGACTAATTATTTTAGGACAGTGTTGGATTGCCAGGGCATGGTCGTTGCTGCAACCGCTGCGACCCTGGTAGTTCTGCCATTGACTCCAAGCTGTAAAAGGACTACAAATCCCAGAAATACATTATATAACAATGCAGAATACCACCAGCTATAGAGGATTACAAATCTCAGCAATACATTATACATCAATGCAGAATACCACCAGCTACAGAGGACTACAAATCTCAGCAATACATTATACATCAATGCAGAATACCACCAGCTGTAGAGGACTACAAGTTCAAGCAATACTTGAGAGAATGCAGAACAATATGAAACTACATATCCTGCGTTGCTCCAGAGTGTTAGCATGATGTCTCCAGGGTCTCAGGTGGACTGTGCAGGATCCCAGGTGGACTCTCAGGTGAGCTGAGCAAGCCTTCAGGAGGCTGCGCGGGCTCTCAGGTGGGCTGTGCAGAGCTCAGGTGGGCTGTACTGGCTCTCAGGGGGCTGTGCGGGCTCTCAGGTAGGCTGTGAGGGCTCTCAGGTAGGCTGTTCAGGGTCCCAGATGGGCTGCGCGGCGTCTTAGGAGGGCTGTGCAGGGTCTCAGGTGGGCTGCGCAGGGTCTTAGGAGGGGTGTGCAGGGTCTCAGGTGGGCTGTGCGGGATCTTAGGTGGATTGTGCAGGGTCTTAGTTGGACTGTGCAGTGTCTAAGGATTGCTGTGCAGGGTCTTAGGAGGACTGTGCAGGGTCTTAGGGCTGTGTGGGCTTCTAGGTGGGCTGTGCGGTGTGTTAGGAAGGCTGTGCGAGCTCTCAGGTGGGCTGTTCAGGCTCTCAGGAGGCTGTGTGGGCTCTTCTGATGGGAAGCTAGTATGATAATTTACAGCAGTGGGTTAGGGTAAGATGTACTTCAGTGCGAAGTGTAACTAGAAATCCAATAGCAAGATTTTGATGGGGTAACCAGAGGTGGCAGGTGGTCCAAATTGCAATTATATTTGCACTACCACTGGTGGCCACTGTAATTGAACACTTTGCCATTGTAACCAGGCAATCTGAATGAGTGCCTCCTCAGTTCAAAGTTGCAGGAACAGCTACTAAAATACTCAGCTTCCTTCTCTGAGCATGTGCTGTGTACAAAAGAAGAAGAGCTTCTCCTTTATGGTCAGCCAAAACCAAGCTGATTTAGATTGGTGGATCAATGGGTGGTAAGGATGTACATATTTTTGTTTTGGCAATCTCTTTACAGACAAAACAAGGCCCCTACATGGCTGCTATGGCTGTAGTTATGCCCTTGACTTTGAAATTCACATTTACCAAACACCTCTTGAAAATACACACAGAATCTATCAGCACTTCTTAGTCATCTGTTGATAATGTGTTTCCCCTTTTTTGATGGCCTATATTGTTTTTTTTAGGAATAATGTGTATAGCGGAAAAAAATAATTGGATTTCCAAATACAGTAAACTCCCAGTTAGCCAGAGCTAACAAATGTTTAGTGCTCACATGTCTATCAAGCAACTGGCAAAAAAATTGAGGACATACTATGTCATAATATGGGGACTTTACTGTATAAGATTTCAACCACAGATGACTCAGCCCTTTTACAAGACAAAGTCTACAGATCCCTTGTTAGACAAGTTTGAAAAACAGCTGTCATGAGATTTGCTCAATGGACTGACATCTGTCACAACAAGCATGCCACTTTTACCATACTACTATGACTAAACAGAACAACTGCAATCTCAAATACACCAGCAGATGGTACTGTATGTGAATATACAGATTACAACTCCTGGTTTCCTAAAAAAGCGAGCACCGCTTATAAAAAATGTACTATATGTAAAATGTTCTGCTGCCAATAGCAATCAATCAGTTACCTTAATTTATTTCAACACCGCATTATACAAATGACATTGGAATAGAAATTCCTTTCAGATGAAGAGGTCATTTAAAGGCTGTGTCCAATGTTTTTCCCTTATAACTATCTTAGTAACATAACAACATATAAGAAGAACTTCCAAGCAACTTACAGTCCTTCACCAATACATTCCAGCAACAACACTTCCCCTCTGAGCACAGTTCTGTTACTTGTATGACCAGAAGGGACCAGAAGTGATGGGCTTCTATTATCTGCAGGGCTGTCTAGTGGATAAAGAAAAAAAAAAGTGTTACAAAACTAGAATAATATAACAGAATACAGACTAGTATGACCTGACAAATATTTAGACATGGAGATAATTAGATAGGGCATGATCAATCATAGAAAAGTGAATAATAGTTACAGATTGCATGCAGAGACACCTAGGATTTATTAAAAGTTAATTAGTATTCTACTTATAGAGACATGGGAAAGAAAGATAAAGAAACGCAAATTACATTGACTTGTCTACATTTATAAAAGATGAATTTTTTGTTTCATTTTTTTCAGTGGTTTTAATTTAGTCGACTATTATTTCTCTAAAAGGACTGCTCAAAGAAAGTCTTCGAGAAAATGAAGAAGTACAAGTGACAGACCTGGATTAGCTGTCTTTTTAATGAACTATCAAATGCGTGATTCACAAAATAATTAGCATAAGCCCCCCTATGGAGCCTCATGTCTTATTTATGGAGCTTTCTATACAATGACTTGGAGAAGGCATATGAAATACAGTTTTTACTTGATTATGCGAACATAGGGACACACTACATCTAGCTTAGAAAACATAAATAAGACCCCTGTGGAATTCCAATATTCAGCTTTAAAATGATTAAAAACATTCCCAGCAATTCCTTAATCATTTATACCTAAGCCTACAAAAATAATAAATAATATGCTTTTTAAAAAATGGCAAAAATAAAAATAAAGTTTTAGACATTTTGAAACGTAATGTTGGAAGACATGTTTGCAGCACAGCACACAGTACAGCGTATTTTCAACGTATACAGAGTAACTGTGCCTCCATCCAATCCATACTGATATTTCTATACAGACAGTCCCAGCAATAGTACATAATAGTTTAATGTACTATTGCTGCGATTTGCTGTATTCCTCTATAGCTGGTGTTATTCTGCGTTGCGCTATATAATCATTATACAGCACACTGCAGAATACCAGCAGCTACAGAGGACTACAAATCCCAGCAATAATAAATTCTACAGCGCAACGCAGAATAACACCAGCTACAGAGGACTACAAATCCCAGCAACAGAACATTATAGTATAATGGACTATTGCTGCCGTTTGTTGTATTCCTCTGGGATTCGTTGTCTCCTTTAAGCAGTGGTTCTCAACCTGTGGGTCGCTGTGTGATTTCTGCTGTGCTAGGTGAGAGTCCTCCTCAGCCCTCTCCTAGAGCAGCAGTGTCAGTTCTCCCGCCACGCCGCCAGATGTCGCTGCAGCAGCCACATCATCCCTACATTTTGCCGTTGGGGGTCACCACAACTTGGCAAATGTTACCAACGGATCCCGGCCCTAGAAATGTTGAGAACCACTGCCCTGCGCCCTTTGTGGTTAAATCTTTTCTCCACCAATTTTAGGTGGTTCTTGTTATAGAGTTTACAGTAAAAAGTTTATTGCTGATGTTGCCATCACCACTAAACATTTTGTACATCATAAAATCATATCCCCTCTTAATCACCTCATATCTAGCGTGAACAAGTTTACATTTAGCAACCCTGTCTCATTTAGCTCCTTAATTAGTTTAGCTGCCATTCTCTGGACTCTCTCTAGCTCAAGGACATCCTTTCTGTGGATTGGTGACCAAAACTGAACCACATACTCAAGATGAGGCCGAACCAGTGATCTATAAAGTGGCAAAATTATTGCTTTATCTCTACAATACATTCCCTTTTTAATACAAGACAGCACTCTGCTAGCATGCCTTGTTTGTCGCAATTGTTGGCATTTGCTGGCATTGCAGGATATTATTCAATCTGTGGTGTACTATGACCCCCAAATCTTTTTCCATTTTTAACTTCCCTAGTGGAGTTCCCATTAATGTGTAATCTGCTTGCCTGTTTTTAACCCCAAAATGCATTACTTTACATTTTTCAACATTAAACTTCATCTGCCATATAGTTTCCCATTACCCTAATTTATTCAGGTCCTCCTGTAATGTTATATAATCTAATCCCGTGTCTATTACCCTCCCAATTTTAGTATCATCAGCAAACAGAAACATGGCTATTAACACCTTCCCCAATATCATTAATAAACAGGTTAAACAGTATGGGGCCTAGCACAGAACCCTGGGGCATGCCACTCTCGACCTTAGGCCAATCTGAAAAAGAGTATCAATGTATGTATCAATACTCTCTGGACACATTCCTGTAGCCAGTTCTCTATCCATGTACACACCATTCCATCTATGCCCATAGCTCACAGCTTGTATATTAAGCGTTTATGTGGTAGCGTGTCAAAAGCTTTGGCAAAATCCAGGTACACCACATCCACTGGCCTTTCGCCATCCAGATCTATACTTACCTATTCATAGAATGTTAGTAGGTTGATCTGACAAGAACGGTCCTTCCTAAATCCATGCTGATTATCACTTATTATACCTTTGTCATGAACAAAATCTACTAAATAGTCCTTTATCATTCCCTCAAACATTTCAATTCGTATAATTATAATGATACAGATGTTCCTCACTTACCGACTTACCTGTTTTGCGACCACTCGCACTTACGACGGACCCCCCCGATCGACCTCCGACCTCGCGCGTCAGCGTCAGTGCGACGGGTCGCCGGCGGAAGTGACATCCCCCGATCTTCACTGCAGGTCTCGGTAAGTATTTCCATTGCCGGATGTACAGTACACTGTTCGGTACTGTACATCGGCAACGCTATACAGTACTGTCCTAATGCAGTACAGTACTGTATAGAGTTCCTCACTTAACGACCAATCCGTTTAACGACCTGGTCGGAGGAACGGAACTCGGTCGTTAAGTGAGGAATACCTGTACTATAATTCTGCTTTGGCCATCCTACACATAGGAAACCTACCTTATCATGCACAAATCAAAATAACAATGCAGATGCATATCAAGCTTCCACCAGTGTAACATCATTCCTTTATCATTCCTGGCTACCTCTTCTCCTCTCTAAAAAGTGTGTGCTAAAGTGTTTTCTCCCTCTGCCCCTCACAAGGCCTAAGCCTGAAAGTACAAGCTTTGTAGAAAGTAGGCATTTGCATGTGATCTTTTGGAGAGCTGCAGTGGCTTTGCAGGGAGGTGTCTAAGAACACGAAAAGGTAAGAGATGACACCACAGAGGTTTTGCTATGCATCTGCACTACTATCATCGCTATTATTAGCCTAGAATCACTCCCCTCTGTTTCTCAGCGTGAATCATTATAAGCAATAAGTCATCATTACTGATTTATTGCTTGTGCAGAAGAGAAAAAAATGGTCATTATTTTAGTGAATGAAAAGCTGGAGATCCTGTATGCTGCATTATGTGAAAAATGTAGGGACTACAGGAGTGTGAATTAAAAAAATAAAAATAAAAGAGAAGTAAAGCCAAACATTTTTCTGGCTTTACTTCTCTTTGGGTCACAGGAGTACATTTACTAGTTTACTCCTGTGACCCAAAGTCTGCATATAGCAGGCTAATGCACACTATATGCTGACAGCGCAGAGCCTCACTACAGCCAGGAAGGTTCCCGAGTAAGAGCCAGTTGTGCCAGCCCCCTCCACTATCTGTCTTTCAAGTGAATGCTGGAGAAACAGAGAGGGAGAGGGGAATCCCAGCGGGGAGTGGTAACTGACGGTTACATGATCGCTGAACTCTCAGTATAGAGCCGGCATCTGGCAACTGCAGTGTCCAATGCCAGCTCTAAGTATTGGGAAGACTATATTTTACTCTCCTAATAACTCTCCTTTAAAACAACAGACTATATCTAGACCCACTTGTATAATACTTATGTTTAGAATAGTTATCTTATTTTCCTCCCCTTCCGCATCCGCAAAAACATGACTAATTCTACGTATTAAAAAAATGGATATTTCAATTTACCCCAAATTGGGTGTTCTAGTAATAGTAACATTTTTAACAGGTTGTACTATGACAGACAGGGAGTAAGAAAAAGTGAAGTAATTATGTTAGATGGATTAAATATGGATTTTCTTAACTAATTCTATTATGGTATTAGATGCCATTTTTTTTTTCAACACAACTCACCACCATAAAAATCAGTGTCAGTTAAATTAGCAGCTATAGTTTCATTCATAGAATCCGCTAAAAGAAATAGAACATCATAAATATTTCACAGTGTAAGATGAGTGTATAACTGTTAACACAGTAATATAACAACTATAAGATGGACATTTTGTAATGATTTATAACATAATGTGGGAAGCTGGATGTAAAGCACTATAATAGGTAAATGCCTGGATGCTCTCAGGCAGAACATTGAAGCCGGGCACTCACAGGACTTGAAAAGAGAATATGTGCAAATGTGCAGGTCTAATTGTGATCTGACCTTTTTTAAAAAAAAACAAAAAACATTTAAAACACACACTTATGTATCTGTGTGCCTATGTACTGAAATGCACAAAAAACAGTCCAATACTATCAGAAACCTTAATACTGTAAGCTCATAAGGAAAACAAATAAAACTGCCTTTAAATTTCGGTAGAATATTGTTTTTAAACAAGTGAAATTTGTTTTTTGGGTAGCACTACCAGGATGCTGGCAATGCTACATCTGGTTTAATGCCCTCCAGATTTAAAGCTGTGAAGCACACTGATAAAATAAATTTTCTTTTTTTTAAGGGCTTACTCCATAGGGATAAGCCTCTGAAGATGACCTTTAAAAAAAAGCAAAGCAAACTGGTTGATCCAAAGATTTTTTTTTTACAGTTTTCTTAAATGTCAGTAACAGAAATCAAATCATTCTATTGTAAAAATCTGTTGCTGCATGCATCCTAATTAGAGTACTTAGGGCATGTATTAATATGGCGATGTAGCAGAATTTAGCTTCGGAGTATGAGTAAAGTCAATTGCTTTGTCTGTCAGTTATACAATTTAATCATTGCTCATTTAGCAAAAAAAACCAAAAAAAAACCCTCAAAAAACAACATATAACAATATTGCAACTTACTTCCTAAAACCTTTAAGGAAATAGGTTGCTTCTGGTGAATAGTCTGAGTTAGGTTAAATCTTGCATAGCAGATGTAAAAATCCCGTGAATCTTCTGGCTGAACATTGGAAAAATAAAGATCGCCATTCAGACCTTGGGAGACCCTTCCATTCTGAGGTAGTCGCTGGAAAACTGGGAAAAAAATGGTGATGTTAAGGTCATTTATGAATACTCCTTGTTCTACTAACTTTATGTACAGTAAAGTGGTAAGTAAAGAGTAGCTATATCACATTTTAGAAGACACCTGCCACAAAATAACTACTGCAATGGTTTTTGCACATCTGTGAAATCTGGGACCATCACGTCAATCCAAGTTAGTTCGGTTGTGCTTGGGGGATTGACTGCACTAATAGGAAAGACTTTACCTATAGCATCCTTACATATAAAGCAGACATGTCCATCAAAATCAGACATTTAATTTACAGCCAAGAATTAAATCAACGTTTTTCCAGTGCCCAGCTAGCCCATTGCCTGTCCCACATCAGCTATTATGACCTTTCTTAGATGTTGTGTCCTTTGTAGGTTCACACTCTCAAGCTGTCCGTGCCCTCTCCCTGCCGATACCTATCAGAGTTAACTTGCTAAAGGAGTATAGAATGTGAGAGGGGAAGCTGTGCGGACTTCAATCATCCGATCATATGAGAACAAAAATCCAGTTGTTTTACTTCCCCTTGGACATGACTGGGTATTCTTTGCAAAGCAAATGTTCACTTGGCTTCACCTCATTCACTAAGCTAAGTGAAAATTCACTTTGTAAAGTGAATCAACTTCATTGTGTTTTTAATACCGTATATACTCGAGTATAAGCCAAGATTTTCAGCCCATTTTTTTGGGTGAAAAGTGCCCCCCTCGGCTTATACTCGAGTCAGCGCCAGCGCGTCATCTTACTTACCTCGCCAAGCGTCGCGTCACTGCTGCTCCGGTGTGCGGCGCTCCGAGCGGGGTCATCTGGCAGTCTCCGGGTCCTAATTTAGGTGGCCGGAGACTGCCAGATGACC